AACGTACAATTGTATCTTGCTGCTATATTTCTCATTTGGGGAATAGTGGGTACACAAAAATGTGTAACCGGACTTGGCAAAAAATAAAAAGTTGAATCCGGAATTGATCCGAACCTGAAATAAAATAAAATTATGGACCAGAATCCTATAATAATACATGTATTAACGAAAAATGTGGCATAATTTTCTAGCAGTGCAAATGAGTTCGAGACATCTTGCATGACTGACTTCTAATATCTTACCTCTTGAAGATTTATTACTTTTTTAAATATACTAATACTTCGTCTATTCTGCACATTTATATGTTCGACAACTCTGTTAGTTACGAAAAAAAAGAATTAACTTTACTATCAAAATTTTAACAGCAAATACTGAACTGATCGTTACTCAATAATTTTTGTATAAACCTTTAGCACACACATGTGAATCGTGAGGATATGACATTTGATGCGAGTTTTACATGACCATAAAAGATATTGCTCCCAATGAAAAAAGTGTTGGTCCTGTTTCTATCGAAACCACTTTGCTCATATCTATATGCAAATCTCGGTACCAGCAGCCATGGAATGATTCTGAGCAAGTTATTAGCGGCTACTTGTTTTGGATCAACCGTCCAATAGCATGCTGACTGCATTGTGACATACACTTACTCTTATGGTTAGGTAGTGTGTATAGGAAGTGCAAGAACTCTACGTCAGACTGACCTTCTGTCCGAAGCTACGGCTAGTCATAGTTGCACGAAAGATATTGGGCTATGGAGTCGACTGCAAGATAGCTAACAGATAGGGGTATTCTTTCTCTACATGCAGATAGTTTGTAAAGCAAAAATTTTATTTTTGAATCTTCAAAAATTAATATAAATTATTTTTGTAATTTTAATAATAAAATATAAGTCTTTTTTTGTATTTTATAGCCTTATTACGATTCTCCATATGACTATTATGGTGCACAAATATGTCAACCACATTTAAATAAAAATAATAATAATAATTACGGATCAACTGAATCATTAACTCCTGTTACATCAATTTATACAATACATTTATCATCAATTAAATCAAATGCTTTAACTCAACGAGCTATTATGCCACGTCGATGTGAACGACGTCTTTCATCACCTGCTGCTATTGTACCTATAACTTTTAAAAAAGTTGATGATAATGATATTTCACTTGAGAATATTGACACATTTGTATAAATCTTATCTTGATTGTTTTTGTTTGTTTGTTTTAATAAGAAAACAATCGATTAAAAAAATTATTTAATTATATTGGAAAAATATAAATAAATTCTTCATTAAAAATTCAAAAATATATTTATGATCTGTTTGATATATATATTTCTTATAATACTAAATCAAAACAAGTATTTTTAATATTAGAAAATTATTTAAAAATGAAATAATTTTAAGAGAATCAAGATCTAATTAGAATTCGTGCTCAATCTAAGAAATTGAATTTTATTTCACGATCAATCATTACATGGATTCTCCATGAATTATATGATTGCTTCCATTTGATTCTAATTTTTTATATCAACCATGTATTTAACAGTCATTCCACGTAAGCCACAAGTGAGCCTATTCAATCGGCGCCATTAGATTTTGCTCAACTCAAATGTTGTAGAGAGACGAGTTTTATGAATATTGATCCTAACCGTTTGAAAAATATTGAACACTTGGTTTTTTATCTGTATATTACGAAAACTCCAAAAAATGAGCATTTCAATCAGGGAGTTGGGATGATGATATATCTCGATGAGTTCTACTCAGGATAAAATTTCCAATTGAAAACATTGAACCTTTAATTTTTTATGACTCATCAAATACGAGTAAAAATCTACATTTTAGATGACTTTGATGCTTAAAAAATTCCAGCTCTGTACATCTTTTCTTTCTGTCAATAGAACTCTCTCACAAATGTATTTTTTCATTAAAAAAAAACCGTGGTTTTCAGATGGAAGAAATGAGGTAGTTTGAAGTCTGAGTGTTTGAAAAGTTGGATGATCCATCTAAAATGTATAACTTCATGGTAAAATCAATTTGTGCCGTCTAGAAACAGCTTCCAGCAGAAGCTATCTTTAAGTATCCCAAACCGGATATATACTTCCGAACCAAGATTCCATCATTCGGGCTATGACACATTTTCAATTATTAAATCTAGGCTACTTTTGATGGAAAACACGATGTTAATAGTCCTCTATTTGAATTTCAAAGTTCATGTAAACAAAACCCAAAAAATACAAATATTTGATTCGATGTTTTACATACAAACCCATACTATAAAAATGATAATATAAGAGCCAATCCATTTAAGCAATGACCGACCGCGCTCAATCAAAGATCTCAGATTTTGTTCGAATTGAGATATATTCATCACACTATGTTTTTCAATGAAGAAACTGTAGTTTTTAAAAAACAAACAACATGAATAGTATCGATCTGAGAGTAATAAAAACAGTTTCTTTGAACACCTGACTTTTTATATTTGTCCAGATTATAGGGCACATTAAATTGTGTATAAGAAACTATTCTTCGATATTTTGTAACAATCGTCATAACACACAAAACTTTTAAGTGGTAATAACTTATCACTTTTTAATAATCTACACCAATGAGGACAGGTGTAGCTGTGAGTCTTCTCTTCAGTAACACCCGCATTCGCTCAACGGAGGTCTTTCATTTATCAGACAACATGGACATTTTTGTTTCAACAAAAAGAACTGTTCCTCAGTTATATTCTTACTCTTCTCAAGTTCTTAAAGTCAGGATATTGTGGTAGAGCAAGTAATTCGAAAATAATTTTCATACAAACAACGTTGTTAGAACAGCTAAGCTGACGTCGATATATTTGCGATTCAATATGGCTGATGACCTATTGTCCACTAGATTTCGTCTGTGAAACGATTTATCATGTGGATATGTTCCCTTGTAAGTGCATTCTTCCTTATCATGTACACTGAAGTTCATTTTAATCAAGTTTCTTTTTTGACACAAACAACACTACTGTATTAAATCGTAGCTAAAAACACATAAAACGTGCTATGTGATGTTTATTCGAATAAAGATCGTCTTTTTCAAATTTTGGTATTTCAATTTGAGAGATTTTCAAGCACTACAAGATTGTTATCTACTTTTTTTCGTTAGTTTAATATTTCAACGAATAGACCTCTTTTTGATTTGTGAAAGTCGGTCATATTGAAATCTTGCAGTGTTATTTAACTAGGGTATTTTTTTTTTTCTTAGTCAAGTACAATTTAAAGAAGAATTTTGATCACATTTTTGTCCATTTATTAATATGAATTCTTCTTGTATAAATATCAAGACAATTTAAACCATAACAAAAATAATAAACAAGCAAGATTATCAAACATTTTTTCTTTGCATTAAAATACAAAAAACAGATGTTTCTTTTTTTCATTGCTCTGAATCAAAAGACAGTTGTTGTTTGAATTTTAGTTATAGAAGTATATTCACTTTTAGTCTATTCATTATTATAACAAGGACTTGTAATCAGGATTTTAATTAAAATAATGGTTAAATAAGAATATAACTGGATAGCAACGCAGGATATTTTAATAGATGTTGCTTGCTGAAGCACCAATGTTCAGTGTAAAATATGTAGTCAATCTTCATATAAGTTGTGTCTTATTTGGTTATTGGGGTTGACTAGGTAAAAAAAAACAAATCAATTAGCATTTTAAAGTTTCGATTACTTGTGTTTAATATTATTGAGTGTTCTATAATTTATTTATTTTTTTTATCTTTTAATAACTAAGATTCTTTTTGGTTTTTTTTCGTTAGCTTTTAATTCTAATATTTACAGTTTGAGAAAACAAAATAGTTTAATTCAAATATGTCACATTAATCAGATGTCCAAACATATTTTCAATAGCAAAATTGTATTAGATCCTCACTAGTGATTACTGAGTACATGTCACATAGAATTTTTCAAAGTTACTTCTATAAATTTGTATTACTCATTATCAGTAGGAAAGTCATTAGTTAGACAACTCTGAAATGCTATGAAAGACATAAACGACAATGCTATTTGTCTAGTAGTGGTGACTCTTATGTCTTGAATCATAGTGCAAGATATATGCGACTTAACTGTTTCAATTGTCATTATGTTTTTTGTTACATTGGAAACGTACTTTACCTTGATATAACTTGAAACAAAAACAAATTCTGTAAATAAAATTTAGAAAAAAATCAATAAGAAAATAATTTTCTCAGTAATATTTACATATGTTTATTATCATCTCTGTCGTAATTTACAATATTGCTGAATACTTGTAACAAACAATAAAGAACAAAAAAAGTGAATTTCGCCTATTCCACACAAGGATATGAATGTTGGTGTACTATTGATCAATTTAAAAGAAATCTCTAAGAACAAAAAAGAACAAAAACAAAATATTAACTATACTTTTTATTAGAAAATATTTTGATGAAAATTTCAATTGCGCTGACGGAAACTGATTGACACATGTTGCCATTTCTTCTGGAAATATACACAAAAAAAAGAAAATTTACTAAACATAAAATAAATATGAAATATTTTTTACCATATAACAAACCATATTTATTGATTATTTAAAATTACAAATATAACTTAATTTCGAACGCGTGTTTATTATTACATATATGATCGCTGGATCAATAATGCAAAAATAAAAACAAAACAACAATATTATCATACTCGATTAAATGATACGCATCAGTTATTTGGATAGGTGTAAATATTTTTTTCTTAGTCATTTATCAATAGATGTAGTTATTTAAATAAAATAAAGATTTGTATTCTTTTGGCATTAGGAGAAAAATTTGATGTTATTTAATTATATTAAACATTTTCTTATTTATCTATTCTTTCAAAATAAATCAAATATAATATTAGACTTAAGATTTTTTTCATCAGCAATATTTTATTATTAGAAACAAAATCAAAAAAAAAAAACTAAATGAATTAAGTAAAATTAAAATAGATCAATCCATTGTTTTAAATTTGAACTTGTGTTGGTTGAAGAATAGAAGGTTGTTGTAGTTCTCGCATTGTTGACTCGATTGGTACTATTTGATTTCCACAAAATTTTAATTTTATAAGTATTTGTTTAATTTGTGGATTAATAAATATGATTAATATACTAAATATGAATACGGTTACTGTAGGACCCATAAATTGAATTCGATACATATAGTAAGAACCTGATAAATGAACATCAATATTTGTCATGAATGCAAAAATCAGATTTGGTAATCCGGGCAAAGTAAGAGCAATGAGTGTAAATAAAATACGACGAGTAATCATAAGATCACGTTGAGCTTTTCTTCGTTGTCGTGCTCCTGACAATTGAGAAGCCGCCTGATGATGAATAAAATATAGCAAACGACCATACATTATGGTTAAATAAATAATTGGAAAAAAGAAAATATTCATAACTGTATAAGAAAGTCCAAAAACTTTTTCATATGGAATACCACAGTAATAAGCTGATTCATGAAAAGAATAAAGTGGTCCAGGCCAAAAGTATGATGGAAGAAGTAGAAGAAAATAAATAATCCATTGAAGTACAATACAAATTAAATTGAATGAAAATGACTAGAATTTAATTGCAAAAATAGATACAATTTATTTCATTTATAGTTTTCTAGATTATTTAAAAATGATAACAGACATATTTAAAAACTATGAAATGAAAAAATAAATAAGATTGAAATTTACATACCTGTAAAAATTTATATTTACTATAAACAACTCTTATTAATCGATAAAATGCTTGAAGAACAAGACTCATATAACAACAACCAAATGTTTCATAAGCAAGAAAACCTAGAAATCGACATCCAATTGATTGCTTGTCAATAAGATCAACAGTACCATATAGATCTGTTTTAAGAACAATAATAGTTTCTGATAACATTACAAGACAATATATGATCATAGCTGCATATGTATTTGTTACAAGAAGAACTGAAACATCTTGTTTTTGTCGTAGATGAATAATCAAGATGAGAAACAAAGTGAAAGCAATGAATATTGTAAGACTAGAACTGATTAGAGTAATAAAAGTAAAAGCAATATTTGATAACATTGTTATTTTTAAATTGAAGATATAAGATGTGTAAAAGAAAACGATACTTTTTTTTTCTAATTTTTCTTTCATAAATGAGAGCGTATTATTTTTTTAGCCAATAGACTGAGTAAGTGTCTAACAACAAACATTTTCTTATTCTGTAAAACGTTAGTCGCTTTCAGTTTTTTTTTTGTTTATAGTCAAAGAACTTCTAATATACTTTTTATTAAATCATGTAAAAAGGAAAAAAATTATTTTTAATATGTAGTTTCAGTCTATTCTTCAATTTTCAGATGACAGTGACGATGTAGCCAGCAGATGTATATCGAATTTCGTTTTCATACGAAGGCGCCGGAAATTCAACACTTTCACAAAAAATTTCTTTCATATGAGATTTTTTTCGAAGTTGGATGGAACATATCGAGTTGCCTAGGAATAGTTAGTTTTTTCAACTTTTTCTAAATAAAGATTAAAAGTACATTTGAAAACTAGGTCAAATTTCAAACTTAGTAAGAAAGTCATTTTTGACAAGACATTAATGAAAATTTTTTCTCGTCTTTCAATCAAAATTTGTAAAAATCTTTTGTCTGATTATCTATATAATATCGTTTTACGACGCCTATTTTAAAAATTTGTTTTTTTCTAAATCAATTTTGTGTGAATAACTAGATTAAAGCCTTTAAAAGGTTCGATGAAAAGAAGAGAAAACAAAATATTCATTCAATTATTGTCAAAAATTTACTTTTTCTTCAAATGTCCTTTGAAATCTTTCTTTAAAAAAAGTTGGAAAACTAACTTTTCATAGGCAATTCGATGTGTTTCATTCAACCATGCAAAAAAAACTATATCGAAAAAAAGCCTTGAAGTAGTTTTGAATTTCCGGCATCTGATGTCCTTTAGAAATTTTGTTGTTGAATATGAGTTCAATAAAGAAATCTTATAATAGAATAAATTTTTTAGTTCACACCAATCTGTACTTTCACTCTTCTCAGATCTTGAACAGACAAGCACTCAAAACCATATTATATCATGTTAAAAACATACAAATACAAATAGAAAAAGGAAGATGCTTTATGAATTCAATTAATTTTAACAACATTTTTATCACAAGAACTTATATATATTGCACAATAAGAAATAGATTAATCTAATGCATTGAGTAGCATTCGGAAATTGAGCTTTGACTTAAATTATAAAATGAATCAACTATTTATACCTTTGTTATTTTATGATAATGAAATTATCGTTCACTGAATATTATTGTACAACGTTTGTTTGTCTGATTCTGTACCTTCTTTCGATATATATTTCAAAATAGTATTTCCTATACAAATATTAAACATTCAAAGAAAGAAAAAAACAGATTTAAATCGAAAATGATAAATGTACCGATGATGTCTGTACTAAAGTTCGAATATAGAAAATAATGTATTCTGTACAAAATCTAATTTTAATGTTAATAACTGAGTTACTAGTTAAGAGAGTATGAATCGAATAACTTAATCATAGATAGTATGACTTCTTTACATTTCTTATTTTCATACGGTCAATATGTCCACAAACATGAAGTAAGATGAGTTTTGCTTGTTATGCTTCGATTTTGTCAAGTACTACAGTTAAAAAATGGATTTAATATTTTTTTTTTCTTTTCTCCTTGCAAAAGACTTTAAAACGATAAAAGTAATCTAGAGAACAAAATCAATCTAAAACTAATTAACAAATTTCAATAAAACTCAATGATTAAGGGAGTGTCTCTAGCGTTTATTAAGGTTAGTATAAAATATATTTACCTACTCCCTTATAAACATTTTCCTATATCATCTCTCAAAACGGTGGTATCTATGTCATTCGTTAAAAATCGTTCTGATGTCAATTACGTTTCAATTAATCGTACGATACTCAATCTCTAGGTAGTTACTGTTGATTCTATTCATTGTGGCAAATTCATATAATAAGATTTTGACAGATTCGGATTGATATTCACCATGACATACCACGAATGATAATGAAGTTAATTTGAACTCTTGTCCTTTATAGAACTTGTGGTAATTGACAAGACGAAAGGTTGACCATCAATAAAAAGGTATAAATGATAGCTAAATTAAAAAAATAGGAAGAAGATGCATATCTATGAGAGATAAGCGATTGATGCAATCAAGATCTCTCAATATTACATTTGCTTTAAGCATTAGACCCCTTAGTAACCATTCATTTTACGGTAAAACTATCTAAATTTTGCTTTCTGATTCAATATCTTGTATTTTGAATTATTAATTCATAGGCTTCTCTAGGCATATCATTAAGTATTTTGCTTTACCATTAGACTATAAATTGCCATTTTAGTCTACCAAATCTTATAGTACCAAGTAATTATCCTAGAACTGTAGAAAAGTTTTGAAGGATGAGTTCCCAGTCTATAAAAAAATACAGATTTGGAATCCAGTCCTCTTGAGATCTCGAGAGCATACCTTTACACACAAGCAAAACAAAATCGCCTAAAAAATATTGACAGAACAGCAAAAAGTGGAAGCGTTTCGCATTGGATTGGAACCAGTATTCCGTTATTCACGCTCTATTAGCCACTCTACTATTTACGAAACAATTTTCTCTTCTTTCTTTCATACCTACTATCCTTCATGATCTAAATAAATGAATGTGATCTAGCAAATATTCTAAAATAATGATCTCATATTACTCGTATTTAAAATATATATGAATTTAGATTTATTTTCTTTTCTGAAAAAACGAGTTACATCGTCGAAACTATCTTAATTTAGAGCGTTTGCCCAAGCCAATCAGTGCATAGCACAGTTAATCTAATAGAAATGCGCTACTCAATGAAATAGGGTGTTATGCTTCGAGCAAATAATAAATGAATGTTTCTGTGTTTTATGAATGCTCACGATAGTAATTAAAAAAGCATATAGGAGCTATTCTTTCTATTTTAAATATTTAATAATTTTTTTAATAACTTCTAAAAAAAACTTGACAAAAGATAATTTAATACACGAAGTTCAAACCTAAGGTTAGTTGTTGCTGTATTATTAATATTAAAAAACATGTAGATATTATCTACAGCAGCGATACTAGGGTTTTTCTTTCCAGTGAGCTCAGCCTAACTATTTTGGAAACACTAAAAATGCATCTTTTGTGAGATACTATATTTTCTGTGTAGATGGGTTTTGCAGAGCAATGTATAATCCGATATAATTCTGAAATGCATTATACAAACTAGATGGGACAACAATATCTTTGTTATAAAAAAAAAGCTGTCAGATAAATTTTTGTCGAATCAAAATGTGAAGCACGATGTAGCTGCTATTGTTGCTAATAACAAAGAGACTGCTTTATTCCATCTATCTAATTTTGAGATACGTTTCTTCAACATTCTGGGAAACACAAATTTTGCAGTATTGATTTTCAGCAATTATCGAAAGTTCTTTCTTGCCGAGGGCGAAAGTTCAATAGAAACTCAACTTGTGGCAATGAATAGAAATCTAGGTTAAGTCGTAAATCCACTGATTATAGGGTGAATATGAGTATTCATTTCATCCACATCCAAAAGTATCTATCACTTGCTAAAAATCAATTTCAAATGTACTTCCACTTAGACGACCATCTTTCATAGAATTCCTCACATATGTTTTTATGAGCTTCATTTGCGAGAAGCTTCTCTCAGGGTGTAAGCTATGGGTGTGGGTGCAGGTCTGAGCATCGATTTAGGTATGGCTGTAGTTATGTGTAGAGAAAATCCTCACATACACACACACACACGACATGACTTGAGGGTATGGGTGTAGATTCAATAGCTAAACAATTTTTATAAAATTCATAATCTATACTTTATTCCTTTCTTCATGTCACAAAATCGCACATTCACATATATTAATGCATGTTCTTATGTACACAACGAGAAGAGTCAAGGAGAGAGAGATGGTCAATGATAAGAAAAACAAGGTTAAACATTATATGAATGAGCAGTTAATTCAACCAAGCAATGAGAGTAAGTAATGACATACACTAAACTCAACTGAGAATATCACAAATAAGAATGAAATAAATTTTTTGTTTTATAAGAAATTTCTAAGATTTACACTTTTAATTGTATATCACATATGTTGATCATATAGAAAGAAAACCATCATTCAGAATAGTCATTGCTTACCCTTACCTAAGTTTTCATCATCACTGTTACTCTTTCTATTTTATACTAAAATAAATATTGAAATTTAGAGTCAAATCGACATGTACTTCCAACTTTATATCCTAATTCTTTACTTCGAAATTGAAAATTTAATTAAGATTTATCAATATCGTACAGTTCTATGAGAAAAAAAAATCGGCAATATTACATTATACATTCAAAATTTGCATTAACTTTTCTATGTTAATAAAACTAGGTCAATCATACAATTATATTCAAATAGAATAAATTCCATTTATTATAGATAGAACCTCTATGTACATAATTACATCCTTAAGATGTCACCAATAACGAAATTTAAAGGCAACAGGAATGGTTGTTTTATATTTCCAGTCAATCTTATATTAAAACTAACAGTTATTAAACATACATAAATTCCAAATTTAAAATATTTTATCCTGAGAAATAAAACAATTTATTTTTTTTATAGATAATGGATTCAAAACAAAAATCTACAACTCAAAAGGAATCATTGTCAACGTTAACAACTTATTATTTACTTATCTATAATAGTATTCTTACTGTTGGGTTTGTAAAATATTTTATTCAAAAAATATAACTTTCTTTTTTTTAAAATATTAAGATGGACATTTATCTTATATGAAACAATAAAACAAGTAATTTCTTATAAATCAGTAGATGATTTATGGAAATGTCATGGATTATGGAATGCTATTGAAATACCACTTAAAATTTGTCAAACAGCTGCTTTTCTTGAAGTAAGAATATTATATCATTCAATAATTGTATTGATTGTTTTTCTTTTTTTTTGTTCAAAGGTCGTACATGCTATGTTTGGTCTTGTTCGATCAAATCCAATGATTGTTTTTATTCAAATTATCTCTCGTGTTTTTCTTGTTTGGGGTGTAGCTAATTATATTCCACATGTAGGTTTACTAGAGATTTTCAGAAAATTCATATGTATTTGTCGAACTACAAAAAGAAAAAATATATTTCAAATTATTCTAATATTTTCTTTTTGAATATAGAGTGAATAATTTTTATGGATAGGAAAATTATAAATAAAATTTTTCTTTGAATAACTATTAATTATTGTAATATTATATAGGCACAACTTTCATTGGGCATTTTTTTGGCA